CACATGTTTAACAGAGCATTTTTTCACTCCCATGCACACTGAAGCAACACATTTACCCAACAAACCAAATCCTTTTTATCCACAAAGTAACTCCTGCTTTTTCATTCCCCCATCTAAGCCCTTCTCACAGGTATGTCCACTATTAACTCCTATACATTTCTCCCATGTTGAAGCTCACTCTGAAATAGTCATTTCATTCACTTCAGCCCAGAATAAATTCTTCAGCAAGGCACCAAAACTGCTCTGACAATCTCACCTAGCAGGACATTTGTTGTTGAAATGGGATTTCTCTCCTTGAAAATCAATCCATCTCCCCCAAGAGACGTTGGCTTCCCTTCTCCCAGACTGCAGCCGCCCTGACCTCTGCTCAGCCCTGCTTCACGCTGTGGTGGAGGCTCACACGTGCACCCCTGCACGTTTGCCTGGCTACGACCCTGCCATCGCACTGTGGCACGCTTGGTGCTTTGGAGCTGAACAGACAAGTCTGGCAGGGTCTCATCTTTACTGGTGCTGCACGATACCTGAGTATTTCCCTCCTGGCTGCTCCCATCCCGGATGCTCTTACATCTTTTCTTGCAGAAAAAGGGAAGAAGCTTTTATTTTTTAGTATCCTTGCAGATGTTCAGAAGCCTGCAGGGCTTTTTAGGGAGAACAGGTTTCAAATGGCTTCAGGATCACAGTACTCCACAAAAATAAATGATGACTGGTTTTTTCCCCAGGCACCTGTATTACTGCATGCTGCTACAATAAGCATATCAAGTGATGACACGGGAAAATGTGGTTATTAAGGATAACTCTATATGGTAAGCCATGTTCCTTCCAGGTCCTCACATACACCAGCTGTCTCTCTGTGGCCTTTTTGTACCCAGGACTCACTGGACTTTGGGCACACATCATCTCAGCTAACTTTAGCTGCTGAAATGTTGGCACCCAAATACCTGTCTCATCTCCCTTTATCAACAGATCAGCTTCTCCCAAGAGTGATTCAATCCTTTCTGATATAGGTATTTAGCACTGCTGCAAGGGATAAACCTCTAGAGAGTTTCTCTCTGCTGATTATAGACGATCTGTTTAAGATCAATGGTCAACTTTCCAATGGTTAGAGCTAGATGAGCCAGTCCCACTTTCTGTGTCCATAACAATAAAAGATGAATCCTGTTTTGCATCAGCCTTACTATTTTTCAGGAGAGCAGAATATATTTCTGCCAAAATGTGCCCCCCTGCTAAAAGACAGCATTCAGGTGGAAATGAACTAGATATATGGAAAAGACAATCTTCTTGCTACAAAATCTCTTCAGGACAATCTTCTCCCCAAAGTAAAGAGGTTCAGGGGCCATTCTAGAGAAACACTTTCTTAAAACAAGTGTTCCTCATGGACTCAGCCAAACTCTTACAGAAAAACAGATACATAAAACCACCCAAAAGCTCTTGTCTATGAGTTACAAACAACATTCAATCGCACCCAATCTACTTTGAAATTTTCTAAATACTGTGCCAAATTCCGTGGGAATGTATATGCAAGGAACATTAAAATTTTGGAATAACTGCATTTACTTAAGGAGAGGTACCTCACATTTAGGCCACTGTAACTGACATCCCAATACAGACCCAATACAGACTGAGACCGTGAAGCGGCAAGAAAAAGACAATGGGAAAATATAATGTGATTCTGGAGTGCAAAATAAGGCTCTTAGACCATTACCACAACAGCAGACTAAAGCAGTCAGGAAAATTGAAACAAGAAGTACTTTTCTCTTCCACAGAAATATTTTCGTTTTGAGACTTTTTAGTGTCTAAAAAAAAAGTTTAAAAATTCCAAATACAAAATTGCACAATAAGGTCTGAGAATAAATATTGATAATTTGAGGCATTCCCATCAAAAGATGCATTTTGATGATTTTTAACATTTTGTTTTGACACGAGTTTGTTTTCCTTGCCTTTTTTTAACTATAGATTATCTTCCACATGAAAACAAGAACCAGTTTCATCCTGGAATGCAGAAATGGGGTGTTTGGAGAATTTCAAAACTCATTAAAGCATTTTTTTCACATGTTGTACAATGATCTAGGGAGGTATTCTGATCTACACCAGATGGCCTGAGCTCCACCAGAGCTAGGTTTATGGAACAGGAAGCCGTATATTTGCCAGACCCAGCCCTTGTGCACAAATAGCTTCAATTTTGACAAAAGCATTTTTGATGAAAAACATTTAATTGAAAAATTCCCAGGAAAACTTCTCTAGAGAATATCATCTCCCCTTGCTACGAGCTCTGGAAAAAAAAACCCAGACCCAAACCCTGCATCTACCAATGCTTTCCCTAGTCCAATTTTGTATATAGTAGATAATGGAATAGTGTCTGCAGAGATGAAGAGATGTTATCACAGGAGTACTGGATTTACTTATTTTTTAGTAACTGAATCTATATTTTGTATCACTTTAAAAAACATGATAAGAGTCCATAACTGCAAATTGCAGTAGAGGGAAAAATAAGAATTTGCATGAATAAGTGTGCAGAGTGAGTAAGTTTAAAAAAAATGTAGAAATGAATTGGTTTCAAATCCTATTTGGATGAAAATGTATTTGATAATTTTGAAATTGTGGTGACTGCAAAGATGCATGACTATTTTTTGAGTGGTAGCAGTTCAGAGTTTGAGTTTTGTTGTGGTTTTTTTTTTAATAACAACTCATCTTTCTACTGGACTTAGCTGCCCTTCATACCACAATGTCATAGTATCCCAGCTGAATATTACCACAATGTCATGGCATCCCAGCTGAAGGTATCTGTGCCCTCTAAGAGAAGTTATTGCAATTGCCCCCTCCTCCTTTTACAGTGCAGGAATGTTAAGTACAGAGACATTAGCAGAGAGCTGGATCCCACCACATACCCGTTGCCCAAGGTCACAGTGGAAGTCCTTCTCAGACCACAGCACTAACTCTGGTGTCATTATTCTAAAAACTAGCCCAAAACCGAATTCCTTGTAATCTGACTTCTTCTTGATATAGTTACAAATGATTTCTTTTTTTTTTCACCAGTATTTAAACTGAAAGATTTTCAAGGTCTTTATGATTCAAGGAAGAACAAACCCACTTTCAGTGCTTCCTTTGTTAGAAATCCCCAGTTGCAGGAGTCAGTCCCATGTGGAAGAAGCAATTGGTTTCAGCAGCCTGTGATTTACAAGCCACCCATGAGACCTGTTGCAGTGTGCTCAGGAGGCACACTGAAGAGATAGAGTAACTTATTCCTTTTTCTCACATAGTTTCTGTGTTTTCCTGAGGTGGAAACTACTTTTTGAGCTAACAAGAGAGGGTCCTAGAAACATTCGTCCCTCTTCTCTGCTCTGAGGAGCTGCTGCTGGGGATGGCAGATCTCTGTCCACTTTCCTCTTTGGCATTGTCTAGTCTTGTCTCATGTCCTATGACTCACCTTAAACACAGGTGATCACCAGAACTCCCCTGTTGGTTGCTCAATTTCTTGTAAGAAACAGGAAAGAATCTGGCTGCTTTAAACTAATCAACAAAATAATGCTCATTTACACCCAGTCATTGTCTGCTCCAAAGCCCCATGAGAAAGAAACCTGTGAGATGCTGCAGAGCTCCTCTTTTTTTCCCCAAGGGCAATGCCTTTTCCCAAAGGACAATTCCAAAAAGACAATGCCTTGCAAAGAAATCCTGCTATGTCTTGTAGTGTCTAACCGTCATGGGGTATTTACTGTGCAAACAATATGGGAAAGTCGTTCCTAAAGAAGCGTGCAGGGGTCTCTGACATTGCCTGTGAATGTGTGTGGCGCAGAAGGAGCAAAAGGGAACTAGTGATTTTTAGGTCTTTATTTGTTTATTGCATTTTTATAAGTCAAGAGGTCACTCTTTGATAGTCCATTTCATGGTCATTTCCACAGAAATATATAATTTCTTTCTCCTTACCATTCTCCGAGAGAAATTTCTTTTCAAATAAATTTTCAGATAACTGCTGAAGGGTCAATTCCCATGGAAAAAGACATTTGAAAGAGAAACAGATCTCCAGCTTCATTTCACTGGAATTACCTACTTCACAGCTTTAAAACCTTGGGCGTTTCCTAAACGTTGGCAGCTCCCTGTCAATGGGGTGGTTCACTAAAAGGGCAACGCAATGCCAGTTAGGCAGCTCAGGATTAGAGTAATGACCCCAAATTCTCTCAAAACCTATTTCTGAAATGGCCTTCGAAACATAATATTGTCCTCGCACATTTGAGCAAGACTTCAGCAAACCCTGCTGAGATTAGCAGTGACTCTTTCCAGCAGAGACTTCTCTAAAGGAGAAGGAGGAGGTGAAGGCTCATGTCCTTTGGAGGAATCCTTGGGGCAGAACCTGAAAGCAGCAGGTCATTCAGGAAACCTGGATTTTTGCCCAAGTTTCTCTCTGCCTTCCAAAACACACACATAAGCACACAGTTCCTTTGCCATTCAGTTGGGCTTTTCTGGAAAACCACAGGAGGTGTCACTGGCTCACTTTAAGGAAGTCCCAGGCTGGTGATGTCTACCAAAGTGGTGCATTCCATGCAGAGAGGAATTAATTCAACCCATGCTCCAAGCCCGCTCCAAGCCCACAATCTAGCCTTGGCCATTGGTTAGTTAGTGGTCAGCCCTGAGTACAGTCAAGCCTTCCTGGCATCTACCTGCAATATTGCCAGCAGAGGAGCAATAAGTTTCCCACTGAGGTCAGTGAAGCTTGCATGCAATAGAATTTGCTACTTTGGGGATAAGAAAGGACAAATAGGTCTGAACATCCTCAGATAAAGTAAGATTCAGCTTTTAGCTTCTCTGTTTAGCAGAGCCCCCAGTGACTTTGCTCCCACTCTTACTCTACCTGTGGCAATTGCCTTTGCCACTCACTTTCTGCTCAAAACCAAGAGCTATTTTTGGAGAATGTCATCTCACAGCACTGAATACACCACCACCAGAACCACCACCAACCCAAGCCCCACCAGCCTGCTTCCTCCCATGTCAGGTCAAAAGATACGTACTTTAATAGAAGCTGGGTTAAATTCAACTTCTTTTTTGGGTTCCGGTTCTGCTGGTTTAGGTGCTGGTTTGGGTTCTTCCTTCTTAGGTTCGGCCTTCTTAGGTTCGGGCTTCTTTGGAGGCATGTTGGTTTGCTGGTGGGCTGCTTTAGAAAGGGAGAGAAGGAGACAGACAGACAGACGGGAAAGAGGTGGCTGCTGCAGGAAAAATCATCAGCACACACAGGTCTTTATGCCTGTCCAGTCTCTTGAAGTCACACATTGTGTCACTCTCAGACCTGTCACATGCCAGAGCTTACAATAGGCCACTGCTATAAAAGGACAAGACATTTACCCGGCTATTTTAGAGTCATCGGATATGGCATTGTTACGAATTAGCACTTAAATGGAAAGAGAGTTTGGGGGTTTTAGGGCCGAGGCTGGCGCTGGGTCAAACATTTTTGGTGTGCGTGTGCATGCGTGTACGTGTACGCATACATGTATAAGGGGGAGGTTGGGTTACAACCCAGGTCCCATCGATGGGTTTTATCCTCCCCAGAACGATGCTGACACTTACCCTCCCAGCTCACTCGCTGCAGAGTGTCTCTCTTTCAGCCTGGACGGCACCCCTGGCCTTTGTTGTGCTGCGGTCGTTAAAAGACAAGCACAGATTTATATTTAGACATGAGGATAGAACTACATGGGAGGCTGACCATCAACATGTCAGCTGGAGCAGGGGAGAATTCATGCCTCAGATCACACACTGGTCTTCTCCTGGGAAGGTGCAAAGAACCAGTATTGCTTATAGCAGAATGCACCTAAAACACACACGCACGCACGTGCGTGCACACACACACACAGTCTGAGATAGCACTGGGTGTCTGTAAGTACATCTTCATGGCTGAGATTTTCCAGACCATTTTAGGGACTTGAATGCCAAATTCCTATTAAAATAACTAAGATAAGGGTATCCATTTGAAGCTTTTCTAATCCTAGCCTCACTTTGGTTTAAATAACCCCCCTTCAAAGCAAAACAGAGTTAACAGTTCTCAGATCTGCATTTGCTTACGTCATTTTTCTAAATCGGGAGGTCACTCTGAGACATGGTCACTTCCACATTGCCTAGATTTTTTTTTTTTTTCCAAAAAAGCCATCATCCCCTGTAACAAGACAACCACCCACTAAAACACAATGTATTTGAAAAGGGGATCTATGCTGGCATTTCAAATAAATATCAGTTGAATCATAAATCTCTTTGTTTTACTTACTACATCAGCCTGATAATCTACCATTCAAACCCCTTTGAGACCTGCTTTTCCTGACACCGCTGTCAGCCTGACCACCCAGTGCCTGTCTCTCTGCACTCCTCGGTTCCCTGAGTGCTTTTGCTGGAAGAATGCTTGTGCTTTATCCTGCCCACCTGCTCCCAAATCATGGCACATCCCTTACTGGCAGTACACAAGCAGCTTTGAAGTGTGACATGAATACTACGCAGAAAGCTGGCCACCCCCGTTAAGCTGCTGTCTCCACCATGGCTTCAGCAAGTGAAAACAGTCGGGGATCCTGGAGAGACTGGAGGGGGAATGGAGAAGGGCTGAGCTTTGTGTCTATGCACCATAGTGTGCAGTTCCAGGTCCTACCTGAATGAGAGCCTGCTTTCTGATTCCAGGTTTGAGGCAATTCCACAGTATTTATTACAGTAATAAATGCATCAGTGCAATAGCATGATTATCACAGTAATGGTAATTTGTGCCTTTTGGATAAAGGGAAGCAAATCTCATTCCTCTAATCAAAGAGGACATTTTGGGAACATTGTCTGTGACAGGAGCCTTGAGCTGCTTCTGACCAAGCTGGTGAGGTATTTTGGCATTTCAGTGTTTCAGGGACAGCCTGGAGAACTGCATTTTTCCCTGCAGTGTGTCACCTTCCAGGAAACTCAATTCTCATCCAAAGCTGGTAGTAGAGAAGGGATGTGTCTCCATGAGAAGCTGTGCAGAGATCTGTCTACTCACTCTGCCCAGACCAGACTCTAGTCTTGCCAATTCTCTTCAGTTCACAAAAGCCACAAGACCCACTCTGATGGAACCCACCAGTTCCAATCCATGTTTGTGTGGTCACCTGGGGAAGATGTTTCTGACAGCAGCTTACCAACATATTGATCTACTCACTATAACCAGTGCAGCCAGGGAAGCAGTTCAGCTTCCCTAAGTTAGAAACCTATATTTGGTCCCTGGGTAATAAGGTGGGATTTGTTTCATTGGAAATGCAACAGAGATGCACTAGATGATCCCACCTGGCCTTCAGCTGCAGTTGCAGAAGGCCCTCAGTCTCCCATAGGGTCTGTGCCATAACTGCATACCTGCCAGTTCCATACATGTCTCAGACACCATAGGGTATCAGAAACGGCTCTAGAAACACTTATGTAGGCAAATTAATCCCATCCCCTGTGAATTATTAAACTACAGGACACCCACACAATTCTGGAGAGGCCATTGCAGGCAGAGGCATCTCAAATGACACCAGATACTTGCATTTAAGCAACTGAGCGAAGCCATGGATACCTACAGCTGAAAGAGCTGCATCACCCCCACACTGAATATATGGACTAGATCTCTGTTGACTGTGATGAGAGCAGAGCCACACAGTTCACATAAAGATATTTACATTGTAGACACCTAAATCAAGTGAGATTAACCCTACCTGGGCTGAATTCCATCCTTTGAGATTTCCTTCATGTTGCAAAACCCTGGAGTACAGGTTTTTCTGCAGGTTTCTATTTCTCATTTGCCCATTTTCTGTTCAGGGCAAACAAGAATTAAGTGTGGAAAGTGTTTGATGTCCCTGCTGATCAGAATATGTGATCCCTGAAAACTTTGCGAGCTGTAGATATTTCTGCAAAGAAATAACAGAAATCATGCATTGTTTTCAAGCCCTGTAAAAAGTTTTGCTGCATTGATTTCTGCATTGAAATGAGTCATGGCTGGAGAATTGTAAGAGCTTTCTACAGACCCAAAGAAATACCAGGGAGTAATTTCACCATGTTCCCCCACAACAGACTTCTCGATTGACATTGCAGGAGCCAGCACAGACCCATGAAATTCTGGGTTCTGCTAATTCAAAGCAGCAAAACTGCAGTGCAAATTAGCGTGCGTTCTGAGAGCAGCCATAACCACAAGGACAGCATCTAAGCAGGCACCAGCCTGAGCACATGAGTGTGTTTTATACAACATTTGAAAAAGCCACCAGGTCTTATTCCTGAACTGAAAACAGCACTGGAAAATATCAGGCGATTAAGATGCCAGCAGCAGCTCAACAGCAGCTTGGGATCTTGTCACCTCCACCTCTGCGAGATAAGAAGAGACCATAAGAACAAGGAGAGTCATATTTCACTTTCTCTTCCGAATTCCACAAATCACCCATGGTTGTGGGGTTTGTTGGTGGGTTGGGTTTTTTTTTTCCCCTCAGCTGTTCTCTGAATAAAAAGACATTAGCGTAGTAACAGCAAAGATGATCCAGAAAGGTGACTGAAAGCTCACCTCAGTCTGATTCTCAGCCAAAATTCAGTAGTCATACTCTCATACAAAGTTTATCTCAATATGTGTTTTTATATATTCATGATAAATTATATTCACGATACAGCTGGCTTGACACAGTTCACTGAAAAGATCCTTTGCACTTCTGTCAAAATCAAAATGGCTGCAGTATCCTGCCACTTCTTGTAAATTGTCAGTTCTGTTTGGAGGGGAGGCTTCTGGCAATGCTAAAAAATCCCACTTAAATACTTCGGGATTTTATTCAGTCTCCTACCTGTCTGTTCCTCTTCTACACCCATGGCACATTCCCTCCTGAGTGCTGTTTAGTTTATTTGTGTAGACCTATTGATGACTAAAATACCCTAACGGATCAGCCCTTTCTCACAGCTTTAGGTGTTCTTCACTTTGCTTTTTCATCACAACGTAGCATAGATGGCAGGCAACAGCCCCATCTATGCGATTACTCCATATATGTATGCTTATCTTTATTTAAATATACAATGTCAAGGCAAAACAGGGAGTTCTAAGTACCTTCAGGGCTCACTAACCACTGCTGGGTGGATGTCTTGGATCAATTCCATGGATTAAAGATACTCCAATGCCCTGTAAATCCTTCTGCAAACAGCCAAATCAATGCAGCTAATCTTGCCCTAAATCCCCCATTCATCTCTTCCATGAGAATCCCTAGAGGCCCAGCAGCTGCAAAAAAACCCTGACCAAAAATCCCTCTTCCTATTAATAGGTTTTGAAGGGCAGGGGATGTGGGGGGGGAGTGCTCTTCAATTTTTCAGTCAAGCTCACAACAGATGTTAGCAGCAGATCTCAGTGCCAAAAAGCTATTCCAGAGTCACCCTAGAGTCCTACACGAGTGGCTGGACTAGCTGTGAATTTTCTAAAATTCTCTTGATCATCGGGGTATGATAATTTTCTCCTGAGATATGGACCGGGACCATCCTCAAAGAGAACAGAGCTCATCAAGACATTTCCCACAGAAAAAAAAATTAGATTTAAGAACCAGAAAAATAGAATATAAGTGAAAACAAAATATTCTGGCCAAAATCTGAATTGTTTAAATTTGGGAGTACTGCCATGGTGCCTCATGATTCTCTGGTCCTTGATAAGTCTGTCTGTCCAGTTTTACTGGAATCATAGAACAGCCCAGGTTGGAAGGGACCTCAAAAGATCATCTGCTCCAACTTTTCATAGGAAGGGGAGCCTAGATGAGATTATGTAGCAATCTTACTCCATTTTCGGCAATTTGCCACACTCCCCCTCAGACCAAGTAGAGGAGATTGTATAGAGAACGTGAATTGCCTCTTTCTGAGGAAAATGATGACCTGAGAAAAGTTAACAATTTTCATGAAATAATGTTGTGGGACATTTGAATTGAACTATTTGAGGCCAAAACATATCAGTTTTCAGATATTTGACTTCACAACAGAATAACACCCCCACACACAAGTAGGTTGGTTTTTTTTTTTCTGTTAAAAATAAAAATAAAATTAATCTTTGAGTTTAAACTTCAATTCTCTCTTCAGAAACAACCATTGATGGAAACTCTCCAGACATCTTTAAATGAGAAGTTGAGAGCACATCAAAGATGTTCTCTCTCCAACCAAAAGTGGTTGTGCAACTTTTCCCAATAAGGAATGCTGTCCTTAGAGTTGTAAGATGGCCACAGCTTGAGTGTCTTCCCCAGAGAACAGAGAAAAAGTGTTTTTA